CTATGGAGTAATTTATCATTGTACTCAACAAATTTTGGACACCTCTATACCCTTGTTTTGTACATGGAGCATGTTTTTAAGTAAAGGTATTTTTTATCATTAGGAAGGGTATGCATCATATACATGGGATGTGACATCACCCACATGGGATGTGACATCACGCACATGGAACACACTAGTGGCATTTAATGCTCCATATGGGTGATGTCACACCACATGTAGATGACGTCACACGCTTCCTAATGACCAAAAATACCCTTACTAAAAAAAAACTCCATGTACAAAACAAAGGTATATATGTATCCAAATTTTGTTTAGCACAATGTTAAATTACTCATAGTGTGAGCAACCTAATATAACACACACACACATATATATATATAAAGAATAGCATGAATACGTGATAGTAAAAGAAATTATGATTTCTAGGTTTTAAAATCTCCTCGACCCTTGAAGCCCTCCCTTACTTGGTAAATATTCAACTGAAATACTTCAAAATAGTACACCAAATAAACTCAAATTTTCACCCCAAGAATCCCCAAATTTTATTAAAATCTTCGAATTCAACTTAAAAAAAAAGAAAGAAAAACAAAAAACTCGAATTGAATTTTCTACAGTTTGGTTCCCTTAGAACCATGAAAAAATGGACATTAGGTTTTGGAGGGGTATGTACCACCCAAACCCTCTGCCCTGCCCCCGCTTATGCAGGTGCCTCCTGATGTCTTGCACATGCGGGTGTATGTGGTACGCCCAAGAGCACATCCACTTTGATGCGGCTGCATAATGCGATATGTCGCTGCATTTGATAATATGCATGGGACCATGATGAGGCTAAGATGATCCGAAAACATAAAACCATGCCATGCTCTTAACTGCATAAACATTGAGAACACATTATCAACATTATTAGGGGGCTCCTTTTCACTACGTCTTTTGGTAAATTTCATTTTATTCGTACTCATTTCATCAGTAAAAACAAAGATAAACTAACAGGGGAATATACAAAATAGATATATTAAAACTGGCAAAATCAATAACAAGATATCAATTTTCAATGAACATTGTGTTAGTTAATGACATAGATAATGAGAATCAAATACAAACCATACTTTGCCGGGATAAGTGCGACATAAGATAAAGCAGGGGGGAAAATCTGCAGTATGGCATATCCTGCAACAAGCACCACTGCCAGACCTTTGCTGAGACGTGTGAACCCAGAAAAGAGACTGCCACCAGCCTGCCATTTCAATAGCAGATCGACTTTCCTCAGTTGCTGCTATTTTCAACCACCACTGTAGCAAAGTATTATAGCAAATAGGAAAGAAAAATACGCCCCCTGTAGATCCTACTTACTTGTTCGAACAGAGAATGGAAGGGGTGGAAATATTAGTAGAATTTTTAAAGAATTTTTAAAGGCTTTCTCAAGAAAAGGTTTTCCCTTAAACAAGATTAAAAAGAAGCTTCACCCAGCTTAATATTAGGTAAGTTATGGGAGAAGTAGGTCTTAAATGACTTTAGACAATGGACTGATTAAAAATGAAACATGACAATTCAGTTCGCCAGAGTTAGCTTTGACAAGACCAGTCATTTTAAGCTATTAAAAAGAAACAAAGAACTTGGATATGTATGTGCAATAACTGTGTCAAGCTCCTGCGGTGCCACTTTTTTCCTTTTTCTTTTCACACTGCCCATAAAATTTAGGAAATGGTCTGTGACACCTTAAATAGAATCGAAATAGAGTTTTCAATGAAACAATAATGAGGCCAATTAGTTTACAAGATCAGCGCCAAGAGGGAGTCCCTCTCCAAAACGGCGCTACAATTTCAGAAATCAGGCTTGGATAGTGAGACATCAAGTTGGATTAAAAAATAAACGCACGTGCTTCTCTGTGTACGCATTGCTACTGTGAATCAAAAGAATTGGCGTAGATTAGAAGGGTCACCAATGAAATGCAAGGAACATCTATAGACGAAAGGCCCTTATTCATGAACCCAATGTCAGTTCAGATTCCAGAAACACTCACTAAATTCATGGTACTTTACTTTGCAGGATCATTCTTCTTCACACTGCCCTAAAAACCGTTCATTCTATGCAACCTTCCCTTACGTAGTGGTCATGTGGAAGGGGAAGATCAGATCCATATAAAAAATGCATACGCCGATTAAATCCACGCATTATAATTCAAAGAAACGGATGAAGAAATGCAAGTAAAACGGCAAATAAAATACCAATTTTAATCACACAATCAGAAAAAAGATAATGACAGTAATCCTAATAATAAGGGAGGGGAGAGATTGATTTTGAGCAATTGAAGCTTACTCCTCCTGCTGATAAATTGTGAGAATTGATCATCATGGCAGCCCTCCTCTGTGGGGAGGAGAAGATACTCTCTCTCTCTCTCTCTCTCTCTCAATGTAATTGTAACCCCTGCCTGCCTCCCTCCCTCCCTCCCTCCCTCCGCTGTGATCTGTGTTGCGATAGTCGTGACTCGTGACTCGTGAGTCGGAATATAGATAAAATAAAGCGCGCTTCAGGAATGAACGTGCTTTTCAGTTTTCACGTTCCTGTAAATTGCAGTGAATAACCGGTCTTCAGATTTCTAAGATCACAAAAAAATTAAAGACAAATTTAATAATAAGAATAAGAAAATGAAAGCTTAATGTATTTATAGCTGGTAGAGCACCTTTAAGTTCTGATTTAACGGTCATGCATACATTTATTTTATGTTAATAACAGTGTTTAAAAACCTAGATCGGATGGCCGAACTAGTCAACCACTAGACCCTAGCTTGAGTCTCACACGTTCGTCTCAATTTTTTGAATCGGGTTCGGATCCACTTAGATTCAGATCCAGATCCGATTGAATCCATAATATTCAAATTTATATCCACATCCAAAACTATAAGTAAGATCTAGATCCGAATCATGATGTAGATCCGTTCCAATTTTGTATATTATAAAGTTAAAATAAATTATAGAAGTTAAAATAAAAATAGAGAAAATATCTCGATATTTTTTATTTTTAGGTTTCATTTCACAATAGACTGAGGTTTTAAAAGATATATTTGAGCATAAAAATTGTAGATTTTATTTCTTTTGAGAAAGCTTTCTATGTTCCCTCTATCCTCCCTTTTTTTTTAATGGAGGGCCAAGATTGCCCCAATTTTTAATGGAGGGCCAAGATTGCTCCAATCACAATGTCACGTCTATGCACTATTTTTAAAAAAAAAAAATTATAAACTATTTTTACACCAAATTTTAGACCTCCATTCTTCTATTAAACTTGCACTAACAAAAAATATAAAAATATATATTTTTTCAATGAAATAAAATGATAAAAATACCCTTGAAAGTTTCAAAAATACCCTTGAAAGTATTTTGGTCATTAGTTTTTATCAAAAAACTATTGTTAATATTTTTTATAGGTGCGCCCCAATGAGAAGATGGCATGTACCAAATTTCATATTCATAAAATTTGTATTAAAAAAACTAAAAATAAAATACTTTGAGACGTCATATCTATAAGATCAAACGGTGAGTGACACTCTTGATAAAAAATGGACGGCTGGATGGTAGGGGAGGATAGAACTTCTATGTTATAGGGGGAGCATAAAATACTGTCATTTCTTATAACCCTTTGCGCTACTTTAAACTTGTTTTTAGGCCAGACAAATCTAAAAATACATGCTTTTTCTAAAAGCCATCATCCCAGAGTTTTCTCTCTTTCTCTCTCCCATCTCTTCTCTTTCCCATCTCTAACCCCTCTCTCTCCTCCCTCTCTCTATGTTTCCTATCTCTTTTCCCTCACTCACTCTCTCTCCATATTTACTATCTCTCTCCCCTCACTCTCTCTCATCCCAAATACACAGTAAGTATATCGAAAGAAATAAAGGTATTTAGTGGTGAGATAGCGTTTGGTGATGAGAGGTTACTAGGAGGAGAGAGATATGTATTTGGATAAATACAGAAAGAGAGAGAGAGGTATTTAAATAAACATGAGATGAGAGAGATGCTTGGTGGTGAGAAGTTATCGGGATGAGAGAGAGAGGTGTTTGGATAAACATGGGATGAGAGAGAGGTGTTTAGATAAACATGGGAGGAGAGAGATAAGTGTTTGGAGAAACACGAGAAAAGAGATAGGTGTTTGGATAAACACAGGAAGAGAGAGTGAAACATACAGTAAAAGAGTGAAAGAGATAAGTTTGGGATATATAAGTGAAGAGAGATAAGGGATTGGGTTTAAAAAGAGCATGTGTTTCTCACATTTGTCTAGGTTAGAAAATAAGTTTAAAGTGGTCAGGGGTTGGAATATATTTTTTGAAACCTTGGTTTATTAGGAAATAAAATCTAAAGTTAGGAGATATGGAGATATTTTTCATAAAAATAATATATATATATATATATATATATATTACAACATATAACTATATATATAATAAAAAGCTACTACACAATGCCTATGGACGAAAATGAACAGTACTTCCGCTCATAGGCTCAACGACGCCCAATTTTTTGGACGTCATGGATAAATCGATTGTAGTACACCAGTGTTTTAAAATGCGGCCGCATCATGCAGGATGCACTTGCATCCGCATCGCGTACTAGCGCATATGCGCTTTTGACATATGCGGTCGCATATGCGCCGCATCCCGCATCGCACCGCATCATACCGCATTGCACCACATCTGTTTCCGCGAAAAAAAAAATTGATTTTGCCCCTCGGGGAGGGGCAAAATGGTCTTTTTGTAGTTCCAAAGTTTAAGGAAATTGTTTGGGGGGTTATTATACCCCCTAAACAAAGATTTCCAGCCACTTTTGTGGTTTTTTTTGCATCAAATCGAAGGAAAAAAAAAAAATCGGCGAAATTTTTTTTTCATCCAAATCTTCGATTTGGCTGTTGTTTGATACTTGGATGTTCATTTGATGCCTTTGATTGTTGATTTGGGGATGTTAAGGTGAATTTGTGATAATAAATTACGGATTTCAGAGGTCGTGAAGAAATCGAACACTATTTTACATAGTCGGTAACTTTTTATTCCTTCTTGTACAATAATACTGTTATACTTATTTTGGGGCAATGTCTTCTTCCCAATCTTCTAGTAACAAGGATCCGACTTGTAAATATGCTAAACTAAAAAATCCAAAAGATAGAAATTGTGTGATATGCTTGCTCTATGGAAATACTTATATGGATCGTATTTTTCGACAAAAAGAGCATTTAGCCGGAATTTATGGGAATGTAAGAGCATGCCCACAAGTTACAAATGATATAAAAAAATAGATTAGATAATATTTGGATAAATTGAAAAAAGATAAAGAGAAAAAAAATAAAATAAAAAAAGGAATTACTTGATGATATGCAATTATTTGATGATGATGATATGTCTGGAGTTGCAATGAGGCAAAGGGGTACTCATACTCCAACCTTAAGAGAGAGGGTTATAAATATTGGTGGTAGTGCTGAGATAAAAACACCTCTTTTTTAAGGGCCAATGAATTCATTTTTCACCCCTAGCCCCGAAATTGTGGTTCAGGAAAGAAAGAAAAAAACAAAACAAATCATAATTGACAATAAATATAAGAAATAACAAAGGAAGTCGGTATGTAAGTGGATTTACATGGCTGACATTCCTTTTAATACTATAACTCTGGATAGTTTTGCATATATGATTCAAGCAATTGAGCAATATATCCCAAGACTGATTCTTCCTTCACTACATGAGTTAGGGAGCCCTTGTTGAAGGATGTTGTATTTGATGTGAATAAAATTTTGATTTCTCGGAGAGAATGGTGGGAAAAATATGGAGCCACTATTATGTGTGATGGTTGGTCCGATGGGAAATCAAGGGTATTCATTAATTTTTTGGTTAACTGCCTAACAGGTACTTTTTTTGTCAAGTCTATTGATGCATCAGACAAGTCACATGATGGTATATACTTATTTGGCTCGATGGATGAGATTGTCGATTTTGTTGAGAAGCTAAATGTGGTACAAGTTATCACTAACAATGGTGCCAACTATGCTGCAGCTGAGCATTTATTGACTTTGAAAAGGAAGCATATGTTTTGGACACCTTGTGCAGCTCACTATGTTAATTTTATGCTTAAAGAAATGGGTACAACATCTTTATTTAGTGGGGTGATTTCAAGAGCTATGTTTGTTGTTGGATTTATTTATAATCGCACCATAGTCCTAAGAATGACGAGGTCTTTTACAAATAAAAGAGAATTAGTGAGACCGGGTATCACTATATTTGCCACGTCATTTCTCACTCTTCGAAGCCTAGCCAAGCAAAAAAATGCCTTGAGGACTATGTTTGCTTCAAAGCAATGGAGTCAAAGCATAAGGATGAGAGAAAGGCTGAAAAAATTATTCTGAATACATCTTTTGGAGTCAAATAATTATTGCATTGGAGGTGGCTCCCCCTTTAGTGAGAGTGCTTCGACTGGTCGATGATGATGTGAAGCTCGCCATGGGCTACATAAATGAGGCAATGACTAGGGCAATAACTGAAATAAAAGATGTTTTAAATGATGATGAAAATATGCGCAAGGTTATACTTGAAATTATTGATAGGAGATGGAATACCCAGCTTCATAAGCACCTCCATTCAGCTGGTTATTTTTTTAAACCCATCTCTTCACTACAAGCACCTATCAATTGAATCAAATTGTATAATAAATGGTGGGTTCTTAGATGTGCGGGAAAAGTTGGTGCCAGACAAAGATATCCATGATGAGATCCAAAGCCATGAATTGATTAAGTTTAAGGTAGCCTTTAAAAACTTTGGGAGAGATATTGCCACTCGAAATACGGACACTACAGATCCAGGTAAAGGCCAAAAGCCCAAAAATAATCTTACTTGTCTCTTACTTTATATATAGTTATATTGTTTATTTTATACCTTTAATTTTTAATTATATTATAAATTATAAAATATTATACAGCTGCATGGTGGATATTATATGGAAGTGAGACGCCAAATCTACAACGTCTCGCTATTCGAGTGTTGAATCTCACATGTAGCTCATCTGGTTCTGAGTGTAATTGGAGTGCATTTAAGCATGTAAGTCCTTTACTCCTTATTCCTCAATCCTTATTTATTGAATTTCAATTTTCTAATCTAAAATATAATTTATTTGATTTTAAATTTCTACCACAGCTCCATACAAAAAAAGGAAATAGGTTGGAGCAGAAAAAGTTGAATGATTTGGTTTATGTGCAGTATAACGAGCGGCTTAGGGAGAGGTATGAAAATCGCACGAAGCTCAACTCTATTCAATTATGTGAAGCTGATGGTGATTCCATAAGTGAGTGGACTATGGATCCAAGACAAGAGCGTGCGTTTGAGGGTGAGGATCTTACATGGCTTGATGTCGAGCTAGTAACATGGGCTAATGAATAAGATCGACCTAACACTAGAGCACAAATGAGTAGATGAGCTGTTGGGTCTAATCGCACTCGCACATTAGCTTCAGAGGTCGAGGAGGAGGAAGCTGACTCAGAGGAGACTGATGAAGAATAATACATAGAGGCTGTTGATGATGATATTGATGATACGCAAGACAACTCTCAAGAAGACTTGTCTTATTGATATTTGAAAAAATGAAGTTCAAATTTCAAAATTGACTCTCTAAATGGATGATTGTATTAAGTTATTAACTATTAACTATTTTTTAGCTTGACTTTTGGTTTGTATTTTGTAATATCACAGACTTTTCTATATAATATATGTTATTTTAAAATATTTAGTTGGATTCGGATTAAATCCACCTATACTGGGATCTGACGAAATTACTATTCGGATCTAGATTTTAGATGCGGATCCGGACTTGGGATCCAAATCTTGGATCCATACCCAAATCTATATATGATCCAGACTACTACAGATTTCGGATCCGGACCGAGCAAATTCTCAGCCTTAAGGCCATGCACCTCAATGCAACAAAAAAAATTGAATAAATATTTTAAAAAATGAAAAATCAATTTTGATTTGTAAAAAATTTGGTATATATACTATTTTATTGTACAAAGAGTTTGACAATGGACACGTGTATATTTACGATTCCAATGCGAATGTCTTCAAACATGCATCCCAAAAAACCGACATAGGGATACGGCTCGTCTGTACAATATATGGGTCCACGTACATGCACACGTCAATAACTCTATCCATACGTATATTGAAATTTTTGTGTAGTTCACTTGCATTTACATATTCATCCGTTTATATCCCATAAACATTGGTAAAGCATAAAAAGGAATAACTAATTAAATTAACAATCTGTAAAATTTTATTTTATGGATTAGAATTTTATTAATCAGCAATTTCTTATGCTCTAATGCAAGGTCGGGTCGTAACAATATGGGAAAAAACTAAAAACTAATAGCTAATGGAAATAATTTATATAAGGTTCTAAAAAAATGACTCATGTGATATAGCTCATGGAAATAATTTATAAAAGGTTCTAAAAGAATGACTCATGTGATATAGTTGGAATATATATATATTTTTCCTTCACGGCTTAGATTATCTTACAAGTAGTCATTTTACAACTTCAAAATAAAATAAAGAAAATAATACAACTAGGATCTAATAAACTTGAAGCCATTAAATAAGTAATAAACAAAAGAGAGTGCCGAAGATTACCTTAACTGGGCTTATTACACCCCATACCGAGTCACCACCTTCCGATAGTGTGGGATCTAATGGTCAACCTTAAATCTCAATCGAAAAAGTAAGTTTTGGACAAGCCACACCAATGAAACATGAACCCCTTTGATCACAAAGTCAAACTTTAGGTGACCCCTTTGATAACCTAGTTTGAGAGATAACTTATATTTCTATCAAACCCTAAACACCTAGCCCCAATGCGAGATGAGAGATCAAAGAGATGAGACAACCATCATGAGAGATAGAATGGGTCGTGTCCCTCTTAGGGTTTCTTTGAGGGTGAGAGAGTTTATATGTGTGAGAGAGAATCTCCTTCTACGTGGGGTGTGCCACCTATTTTTTGCACAAGACAAAAAGACAGATAAAATCCTCTACCAAGGGCTTGCACCTCTATTGTATAATGGAGAGAGAAGAGAGCTTTTAGGTGTGTAAAATATATGGTGTCCAGAATTTTTGTAGGGTCCATCTATTTTTATAGTGCTTTGATAGATTTTTGGATTTTTTAGAGTTTTTTTTAGCTTGCTACTAATGTGAGATTAAATATGCATATTTGATGTTGGGCAACTTGTGGGATAAAAGATATGAGTCGTTCATTTTATAGTTAGGCCAACAATATCTGATGGAATGTGCTAGAACCATTATCCCCCATTTCTTAAACTATTTTTTATCAATTAATTTAAATAAAAATTAATATAAGATAATATTATCCTTTATTATTTCATGCATAAGCTTTCTTATACATACTAAAAAAATTTATTCAAAATTTCTTCAAGGCTTAAGCTTTCTAAAGCAACATATTCTTTCCTTAAAGCTTTAGAG